GGGAGAAACGCCCCTTGGGGAACTCCCACGGGCTCCCAAAGTTTGGGTGATGGGCCTTTGCTCACCCCAGAGGCTGGCGACCCCTAACTGCCTGTCCTGGAAGAGACCTGCGGGCTGTCACAGCCCCCACCAGCCTGGCCCAGGCCGGGACCCGCACACGGCCTCCAGGGGGATGGGTTGGAGCGGGAAAGCAGGCCAGAGCGCCCGGCTCGGCAATTCTGAGTCTTATCCTTGCAAATGGTTTATACCTTGTGTGTTTTATCACTCGCTCAATATCATAGCATAGCCCAGTGGCTCAGTGGTTGAGCGTCGACCTATGAACCAGGAGATCACGGTTCGATTCCTGGTCAAGGGCACGTGCCCGGGTTGCGGGCTTGATCCCCACTGTGGGGCATGCAGGAGGCAGCCGATCAATGATTCCCTCTCATCGCTGATATTTCTCTCTCTCTCCCCCTTTCCCTTCCTCTCTGAAATCATTTATAAAAATATTAAATATATATAATAGCATAATAGTGAGTGTATGTAACATATGTATAAAAATAAACATGCATCTTTTGAGCATATTTTACTAATGAGCTTCGTAGTCAAAAACATTTGGAGACCATTGCTGTTGGCTGCTGATGCTAGAATGACCCAGACACTAAGGAGGACCCGGTCCAATCACGGGGTAGATGCTGAAGGCAAGGAACACACCTTCCTCTGTCCACCTACCGAAGACCCGGAGGTCACGGGCCTGCCGATCGGAGCCCGCAGAGTTGGACGCCAGGCAGAGGTAGTGGCCAGAGTCCTGGGCAAGGACTGGCTGGATCCTCAGGGAACCCTCGGGCAGAACATGCAATCTGGAAGCAGAGGGAGGGGTTGCCATGGAGACCCAACCCCGAGTCCTGCATCTGTGAGGCTGAGGTTAGCAGGGCCACAGCTGTGCACCCCCCAACCCAGCATCAGGAAGGGCAAGAGGCTGCTTCGGGCCTAGCCTCTCCCCGAGAGTCAGCAGGCAGAGGCACCCCACCTATCTGAGAATGGCCTCTAGATCTAAGAACGGCCCCTTCGAAAAGGGTCATGTCAGTTCTGTGTAACTCCACCCCCAGCCCCAGCTGATTGGACTGAGGAGGAATACGTCACTCAGGCTGAGCCAATGGAATTCCCTGTCCTGGGAATTTGGAACGGGGGGCTCCCAGACAGCTCTCTAGGCTCTGCAGGTTGTGTGAACTGAGGACTCTAACTTGGGGGCCACAGGGAGCCATCTCTGTGAAAGAAGGTGTAGAAAAAATTGATTATGAGAGAGAGAGAGAGAGAGAGAGAGAGAGAGAGGGGCAGAAAGCCCCCACCCCGCCCCCAGAAACAGAGATGAGCACCAAAGGATCAAACCACACAGACAGACAGACAGACAGCCACCAGGGGTTCGAGACGCTCTTGACAAACAGGCATGCCTATCCTCGGGTTCTGAGCACACCCCTGGCCGAACGATACACGCAGTCACCTTCTGCTCCAACCGCGCAGGTGGCTTTCTGTTCATGACCTGCAAAGTGGCACCTGAGACCTTCCCCTTCCAACTCTCACCTGGGGCTCCCAAGGTCCAGGGGGGCCCCGTCCTTCCGCCAGCTCATGAGGGGTGGTGGGGCCCCCTCCGCCTGGCAGGGCAGCAGGACCGTCTGGTTCACGGAGGCGTTCACCGCTGGTGGTCCCGGCTGGATGGAGGGCACCTCTGGAGGAGGGGCACAGAGGGGGCGGGTCCCGGGA